CCGACGATGCTCCGATGAAGTGTTGCATCCACCTTCGCCATGGTTGGCCTTCGCCGACTTCACCGCTCCTCCATCGAGTCACGCATGGCTTGCACCCAGCCATGCCGCCCGCTCAAAGACTTGAGGCATCGCGCGTTCTGACCGAGCGTGAGTTCCTCCTTCCCGTGTCTCACCTCGATGCCAAGGTAGTAGGAGAGTGCGCCGAGATCGCTCATTCAAAAACGAGCCGCCATCTCGTGCTTGAAGCTATTGATGTCCTCTGTGCACGTGTCGGTGACGATTAAGTCATCCACATACACGCCGACGATGAGCTCCTCCTTCCCCTGTCGCCGCGTGTAGAGCATGTGCTCGGTTGCGCACCGTTGAAACCCAAGCTCGCCTAGCATGGCTTCAAGCTTGGCGTTCCATGCTCGTGGGGCCTGTCGTAGCCCGTAGAGCGCCTTGCGCAGTCGGAGCACCCAGTGCTCCTCTCCCTTGACGGCGAAACCTGGAGGTTGCCTGACGAAGACCGTCTCCGCTAGCTCGCCGTTGAGGAAGGTCGATTTAACGTCCAAGTGATGGACGTGCCAGTCCTTTGATGCTGTCAAGACTAGTAGCAAACGGACCAACTCCATGGGCGCTACTTGCGCAAAGACCTCCTCAAAGTCTATGCCCTCGCGCTGAACAAAGTCTCAGGCGACGAGGCGCGCCTTGTGCTTAACAATGGCGTCGAGCTTGTCCCGCTTGACCTTGTACACCCACTTCAGGCTGATCGGACGACATTCTGGAGGTGGATTAACGAGCTACCAAGTCTCATTTTTCTCGATCGCCTTCATGTCCTCTAGCATCGCCCATCGCCATTTTCCATCGCGCTCGGTTAGCGCGAACGTGGGTGGTTCCTCAGCACTGACAAGTAGCAGCTCTGCGTCATTGAGCGGCCGACCAGCCAGGCCTGAGGGCCTTTGTGCCGTCGACGATGTTGTTCCAGCCTACGGAACCGCACCTCCTCACCTTCGTGGTAGGCGTCTACGAACTCAGTGATGTCACTTGGAGGTGGGGCGAACTCGATCAGCGTTGATGGAGTTCCCTGTTCCACCGGAGTGCTCGGCACAGTACCTTGAGTGCTCGCCACCCTAGTTGCAGTGCTCGGCACTACTTCTGGACAGCTCGTCATTACTCCTACAGTGTTCAGCCACACTGTAGGAGTACTCAGCCTTAGTCTTGGAGTGGTCGGCACCACTGCAAGACGTCTTGGCTCCGCCACGGGAGTGCTCGGTACCCATCCTGGAGTGGTCGTCACCATTGCAGAACCTCCCGGCATCACTCCTGGTGTGCTCGGCATGCCTCCAGGAGTCCTCGGCACTCCTCCCGGAGTGCTCGGCATCCCTCCCGAAGTGCTCGGCACTACCCTAGGAGTGTTCGGCTCTACCACTGGAGTGCTCGGCACTCCTCCCGGAGTGCTCGGCACCTCTTCCCCAGCGTCTCCACCACCATGGATGACCAAGTGCTTGATGATGAAGGTGCTGGTGAAGCCGCTAGCTTCCCCCGTGCTCGGACTGCTCCAGTCCTAAGTCGCCTTCTCGTCGAACACGACGTCGCACGAGACAAGCACCTTGTCTCCGCGTGGGTCATAGAGCCGGTACGCCTTGGTACCCTCCGCATAGCCCAGAAACACCATCGGTGTGCTCCTGTCCTCTAGCTTGGTGAGGTTCGGCTTCGTCTTCCTGACGTGGCCGATGTAGCCGAATGTCCGGAGGAAGGACACGCTCGGCTTGCGCCCATACCAAGCTTCGAACGGCGTCTTGCTCGTCAGGGCCTTGGTCGGAGAGCGGTTGAGGATGAACATCGCTGTGGTCACCGCCTCACCCCAGAACCTTGCCGGCATGCCTTTGGCCTTCATCATAGATCGGGCCATGCCGACCACCATCTAGTTCCGCCTCTCCACCACGCCATTCTGTTGTGGCGAGTACGGTGTGGTGTGGTGTCGCACCACACCCTGATCCGAGCAGTACGCAATGAACTCCACCGAAGTGAATCCGCCGCCACGATCAGTCCTTAGCACGCGGAGCTTCTTGCTGCTCTCGGCCTCCGCGCACATCTTGAACTTCTTGATCGCCGCCGCCGCTTCATCCTTGCTCGTCAGGAGTTGCAGCCACATGTAGTGACTGCAATCATCCATGACCAGAAGGAAGTACCGCCGACCACTGTTTGTAGCAGGCATGATCGGCCCACATAGGTCGCCGTGGACGAGCTCGAGAGCGTCCTTCGCGTGATACTTGACCGCTTTTGGGAATGGTAGCCTCCTCTGCTTCCTGGCCAAACAGCTATCACACAGCTCGCCTCCGTGCTTGATGTGGGGTAGCCCTCGGACCATCTTTTTTAGCCAACCAAGCGCGTCGAAGTTGAGATGTTGAACCGGGCATGCCACATCCATGGTTCCTCGGTGTGCCTTACCGCCAGGTACACCGGCTACTCTACCTTCAGTCGAGCAGGTACAACCGGTTCAGGGATCTCTTCACCTTGGCAAAAAGTCGCTGCTCCCGGTCCCTGATCCTAAGGACTCCGTCCTTGATCAGTACCTCGCTACCGCGCTCATCCAGCTGACCAATGCTGATGATGCTAGAATGCAGCTGCGGGATATAATATACATCCGTTAGCACGCACGGTGCTCCCCGTTCTAGCACCTGAAGATGATGGTGCCGCGCCCTTGGATAGCCACCCTTGAGCCGTCACCAAACTTCACCGTACCGGTAATATCATCGTCGAGCTTGGAGAAGGATGCCTTGGAGCCGTCATGTGGTTGTTGGCACCAGAGTCCAGATACCACCGCTGCTCCTAGTCGGCGCCCACACGTCCGAGATGGACTTGGGCACGTGGTTCATCGAGGTTGACAGTCTTCAGGACCTTTCTAGGTCCTTCCACCGTCGTCGCCTCTTCCCTCTCCTCGGCCTCGACGTCGTGTAGTGCACAGAACGTCGCCATCAGGATAGTGGCCTCATCCTCATCATCGGCTTGCGCCAGATAAGCCTGAGCCTTCTTTTCCTGCTTATGGTTTGGGCACTCTCGTGCCCAATGGCCCATCTTCCCGCAACGTCGATAGGCATTGGGGTCGACCTGCTTCTTCTTCTCCAAAGAAGCCCTGCCGCGGCGGTTGCCATCGCCATCGCGGCTGGAGGAGGCTGCCTTCCCGGAGTTCCTCCAAGCAGCCCACTCCTCTTCCGTCAGCAGGAGTTTCCCGCTGTCCTTCGTTGTTGTTGCCTGCTCCAGGCGCTCGTCCACCGCTCTCAGATGGCCTGTCACATCCTCAATGGTGAGGATGAACAAGTCCAGCATCGTCTCTATGGAGAGAGCAATCTGGATGTACTTTGCTGGCACGGAGTGGAGGTACTTGGAGACCGCCTCTTCTTCGTCGATGGTGACGCCATGGCTCTTCAGCTTGCCGATAAGCGTTTGCAGGCGGAGAGAAAAGTCTTCCACTGTTTCACCATCTTTGAACTTGAGGTTGGCGTACTCCTACTTTAGAAGCTAGGTCGTCGCCTTCTCTGCGCGGTCGGAACCGACGCACATCGCCGCAATAGCCTCCCACACCTCCTTATCCGAGCTCTTCGCCCCCAACAGCTCCCTGTACTCCGCCGGTACAGCAGTGAGGATAGCCTCCAACGCTGACATGTCATCTTCTTTATTGTCAGTGCTCTTGTCAACAACATTTCAGAGCCGTCGGGCTCTGAGCTTGATCTTCATGGTCACCGACCACTCTCTATAGTTGGTGCGAGTCAGCGTCGGTCAACTGGTGCCGCTGACCTCCTACACCGTGTGAACAACGACCTCCGGTCATGGCTAGGCAGCCACAACAGTGCCACTGCTGTCGTCCATCTTCGAACCGCCCGTCATCGCCAGCGGTTAGTCTGGCGACGTCACTTGTACAGCTCTGATACCACTTGTTGGCCCACAGGATCACCGGCTCAGGTGATTGAACCACTCACCGGTCTTGCCGAGCACCCGCTAGTGTTGTCGAGCACCCACTAGCCGTGCCGACCACGAACAAGCGTTGTCCGTCCCCATACACTATGGCTAGAGGTTGAAGAAGAAAGGAGAACAGAGCATGCACACATAGTACAAGACACTAGTGTTGGCCGAAGCCCTGTCTGGGAGATGGCAAATCTGAACTCTCTTTACTGAGTTGTCGTGGTAGTCTATTTATACAACTCTATCTATCTAGTCCCAGTACAGCTACCCTGCTGCAACAGTGACTAGATAATATACATGGCTGACTCTGCGCCGGCCTCTGCATGTGGCTACAGTGCTGTAGGTGAGCCGTGCGGCGCCTGCACCTACAGCGGCTACATTATCACAGCAGGGGGCTTTTCGATGCTGTCTTCCTTTGCTGTGTTCACACAAGAAAAGCAGTAGTTTATTCTAACATCGGATAGTGCCTTGCGAACTCGATGAGGTGAGTATCTGATCATCCCATCTTCTCCCATACATATACTTGTCTCTTTCTCTAAAAGGCGTTGATTGATTGGTTCGCCGTTTAATCCTTTTCTATGCTGACATATTCTTGGAGTGATTTCCGTGAAGAACCAAAGACGTATCGGATTTTGGACATTTTTACGGCTGACTTAGATTTCTGGTACTGCGTTAACATTACTAACCAAATTGTCACATCATCTATTGTCCTTCTCGCCATCAAGATAGTAGTACCGCTTGGTACGTGGATTCTGCATCCTGTTTGTTTCGTCGTAAACAATCGTGGATTATTTACTGCTGGCTAGTTTGGCTGGTTTGGTGTGAGAGAAAAATACTGTTCCAACTTATAATCCACGATCGTATACGATCGTATAAGCCCAGCCGAACAGGCTGCTGAAGTCTCTTCATGGTACTCCTTTTGATATCCCTTATACCATCTTATATATGCATCATTTTATTGTACTATTGACACATCCTCGATAAAGCGTTTTATTCGTATACAAAACCTTGTTTCTTGTGCAGTTCTTTGCAGGTTCATATTAGTGCCACTGGCAATGTTTACCTTCCTTGCCTACACATACTGGAAAACAAGGATAACAATCGATGCGGTCGAGAAGTTTTTGCGAATGCAGCAAATGCCTGTTCCGACAAGATATGCATACACAGACATCATCGCTATCACAAGCCATTTCAGAGAGAAGCTTGGACAAGGAGGCTATGGTTCTATATACAAGGGGGTGCTACTGCCGGGTGAAATTCACGTTGCTATCAAGATGTTGGGCAAATCCAACTGTAATGGAGAAGAGTTCATCAGTGAGGTCGCCACCATTGGCAAGATCCACCATGTCAATGTTGTGCGCCTCGTTGGGTTTTGCTCCGAGGAAATTAGCAGGGCGCTTATCTACGAGTTCATGCCCCGTGGATCTCTTGACAAGTACATCTTCTCATCTGAGAGGACTTTCTCATGGGACAAACTCAATGAGATTGCTCTGGGCATTGCCAGAGGTATCAACTACCTGCATCAGGGGTGTGATATGTAGATTGTACACTTTGACATCAAGCCACACAACATCCTTCTTGACAGAAACTTTGTTCCAAAAGTTGCTGATTTTGGGCTTGCCAAACTGTTCCCAAGAGACGACAGTTTCGTGCCCCTGAGCGCTATGCGGGGAACGATAGGCTATATAGCTCCAGAGATGGTATCTCGAAGCTTTGGTGTCATCTCTAGCAAATCTGATGTGTACAGCTTTGGAATGCTGCTGTTGGAGATGACGGGAGGGCGAAGGAACGCTGATCCACATGCAGGAAGCTCCAGTCAAGCATACTACCCGTCCTTGGTGTATAACTAGCTGAGCCAAGAGGATGTGGGCGGGATCGGTGAAGGTGTTGATATGCACGAGTTGGAGAAGAAGCTATGTATCATTGGGCTCTGGTGCATCCAGATGAAGCCGCATGATCGGCCGATGATGAGCGAGGTCATCGAGATGCTTGAAGCTGGCGTCGATGGCATTCAAATGCCTCCAAGGCCATTCTTTTGTGATGACGAGGTGGATGGTTCTGATTCTGTGTCCTCCGAATTCGATGCAATAGAAGAGAATGAGTAGTAAAATATACTTGTGTCTGTGTCACTGTGTGCATGTAGCAGGCTACTAATAAGGGTCCCGTTCATTTGGGCTGGTTTGGCTTATAAGCCATGGTTGAAAGTACTGTTGACTGGTTTGGTGTGAGAGAAAAATATTGTTTGTTGACTGATAAGTCATGGCTTATAAGCCAAATACGACCGAGCGAACATGCTGAAGATTGTAAGGTTGTCATATGCTCAGGCACCGGTTGTATTCAGTTTGTGATAATGTAATGATACAGAAAATATCTCCAAGGACTTTTTTTTTGACCGCCCAAAAACATTTTTGGCCTGTGTTGATTGGAGGCCAGGCAGGCAAATGCCTGCCAGGAAATAGATCCTGGCCTAGACGTTCAAAATTAGATGCCTGGGAAGGCTGTCTAGCTTTTTATGGCCACCAAGCAAACAGCCCCTTTGTTCAGCCCATGTTTAGTTTCAAAAAAAAGTGCTACAGTAGTCAGCACGTCGAATTTTACGATACGTGCATGGAGTATTAAATGTAGACGAAAAAAAAACTAATTGCACAGTTTTGCTGGAAATCGCGAGACGAATGTTTTGAGCCTAATTAGTCCATGATTGAACACTAATTGCCAAATAAAAACGAAAATGCTACAGTAACCAAATTCCAACTTTCCCCCTAACTAAACACAGCCCCTTTGTTCAGTGTAGGAAGAGGATCCCACCTGTTGTATTCTTGCAAAGAGTCGCGCTTGTTGTGTATGCATCCGTGCAAAGGCAGCAACATTTTTCTACGTTATGCATAATAAACTAAGTAAACGAGTATACTTGTTCCTTTGCACGATTACTAGGCACTGATTGAGCCATGACTACAACAATCAATGTAGACATGTAGTGATGCCGGGGATTGGATTCATAAAGCACATGAGTTTCACAGGAAATTGTCCTTCAATTTGGAGAAGTCCTGTGCTGAAAATCGAAATCCTCTAGGAAAACATCACAAGATCGTAACAGTTGTACTCTGAAGTTCAGAGATAGCAGACATTTCAGTGTTTACTTCGAACTGGCAATTTTTACCCACTGAACTCTGAAGTCTGAAGTAGTACCAGTAGGGAAGCTCCGGTTCCATTTATACATGGGCTGAACCAGGGCCCATGGGCCACAGAATGGGCATCATCTCATGCTCACCGCCACGGCGCCACCACGCGACCTCGCGGCTCGCGCCGCCGTCGCCGGCTCAGCCGGAACCCCAACTCCGACAGCGGCCGCTTCCATTCGTTCCACACCACCAGCGTTGCGACACAGAGAGTGCTGAAATGCGCCATCGCTTGTCGCTAATCGTAGCCGACGGTCGCTTAATCCAAGCAAGTCCGTACCCGGCTTGCCTGCCTGCCCGGCCCCTGCGGCAGCACGTGCTGCTCTCTGGATCCCCTCCTACTAGGCACTGACAAAGGTAAACCCTGTGAGGTTTTGCTTTTGCTTTGTTAATTTAGCTCTCGGAATAGCTCTTTGTGCCTATGCTATATTTCCAGCTGCCAATGGAATTTCTGCCTTTTTTTTTGAAGAAAAATGGAACTTCTGCCGTGGCCACAGCTTTTGGTAGTTACTGCTATTAGCCCATTACTGCTTATTAGACTATTTTCTTGAGGGAAGTCCTTGGCTTCTTTCACTAATTTCAACTCTTGAGAAAATTGACAAGGTAAGCTGCCTGCTATACTGCTATATGCAGATAAGGGTGTCGCGTCAGCCATTGGTCTGAAAGAATCTGATGAGACTTGGACAAAGCTTTGCTCTGTGTGAACAACAACTAGGAGTAAACTCTTGAAGACTTAAAAGTCCTTACCAGAGAGATCAGAAGAGCAACACTATTTCTTTCGCAAGTCTACTATCAACAATTCCCTAGCTTGTTGAATGTTGAGTTGTTTGAACCTGCCATGGCGTTGTTCGGTGTGTTTCATTGTTGCTCTACTTTGCAAGCCCTGACTGTCATGGTACGATATTGGTAAGATATTGCCGTGTGGTGAGATGAAACTCTGAAATGAGCAGTGTGGTGAGGATTCCATGAGTGGGAGGACGTTCATGATACGATATTGGTAATATATCGCCGTTACTATGCAGGAGCCAAGAACTGGGTAATCCAGGAGACCAGGATTGTGTCCTCCCCAGAGCATGATAGTTGCATGCCTGGTGCACTGCATGATGGAAGCTCGGTTGAAAGCCGGAATGGGAGTCGGATCTCTGGTCCATGTTTGCTACACTGACACAGTGGACAAGTCTTGAAGAAATCATCAGCATACCGTGCAGTTGCCACAAAGGATCGGTGTTTGAGAAGAGAAAGCAGCACGACTGCAAGAAAAAAATTAGGCAAACCCATGTGAAGGAGATGAAATTAGACCAAGAACTGAGCAGGCTTCGGGTATAAAGCAGTAAGCTGCTCTAAGGACTTGATGCTGTGGTTGTCAGGATAGCTGGTTGCCTATGTTGCATTTTCCACTTCTGCCATGGTGTAGGCTGTAGAAGTTGGAAAAGTCTATTTTGGCAACGAGTCCTCTTACTTAGACTATTCTGCTTTTTTTTTCTCCTCCATAACTTCGTCTGATATCAAGTCCCATGAAGTTGACATGGTTGTCTGCCTCTTGCAGTGGTGTTACGTGTAAGCTGCTGGTCCAAAAGAATCTGTTCCGGTTACTGATGAGACAAATTGACAGGAACCACTCTCGGTGGACTGTTCAAGCGACTAAACCTTGAAGATAGTACTAGTTCATAGTGACAAGCGATAGCAGAAGATGAAGACCAGAAGTATTATTTCCCAAGTCAACTATATCAATCCTATCATGTCGACGACACTCATTAAAGCTAACTAGTATTGCTTGACTCGGTAACACCGGCAGCAACTCCCTAGCCCATAGTCAGCCTGTTCGCTTGCGCGTAAACGATCGTAAATTTCCAGCCGGAAACAGTGTTTTTCTCTCACACCAAACCAACCAGCAGTAAATAATCCACGATCGTTTACGGCCTTCCGAACAGGCTGAGTGTCGGTTCATGGTATTGGATGGTAATGGGAAATTGCACTACAAAACCATCCCTCATGAATTTCGCAACGTCTGTAAAACTGACATTCACAGGCGCCATCTGGCCCCCAACACCACCGAAAGGAACCAAGGCCAAGTATCCGCAGGAAGCCTCAAGGTCTTCAACAGAAGAAGGATCCCTTTCAGTGTACATATAAACATAAGAATTGCTGGTGCTCAGGCATTCAACTGGTCTGTACGACGGATGGTTATTCCTTACAGCCTGCGAGCAACTCACAAAGTTTGCCCATGCGACCTCGTGAGTAGGGAGCAGGTCGAGGCTTCTCGGATGCTGTTGCCGCAGGCCATTAGAGCATCTCTGAGGCTCTCTAAAATTTTCTTTTAAAAAATCCATATTTTTCAACTCCTAAAAAGATATTAGAAAAAAACGAATGTCATCTCCAACAGTACCTAATATTTCATTTCTAAAATATCAAAATTTGGTCCCTTGGTTTTTTTTTTGGTTTTTTTATTCAAGCCATTACAATTCTCCGAGTCTGGAGAAACGGCATTACAATTCACCTATTCAGAGATCTACCATTATAATTTTATCTCTCACCCATTCATGCCATTTTCTACGTCTACCACGTATAAAGGCCCACTGTCAGGGCCGTATGCGTACAACAACGCCTACGGACGTCAAGTCCGCGCCTCCTCCATCAGACAAAGCCCGCCCGTGGACTCTCGCCTCGCCGCGGTCGCGCGCAGGCCGTGTGCCGCCGCTCCACCTCCGGCCCCCACGGGAGAGGTGTGCGTCCTCTCCATCGACAGCGGCACGCTCGCGACCGACGGGCTCCTGGCCGGCGCCGCGCTGGTGCATCTAGAGGCCGCACTGCAGCGGCGCGCCGGCAGCCCCGCGGCTCGGCTCGCCAACTTGGCGTCCTTCCGATGTCCCCAACCGGCTTCTCCTGCGCCGGCTGCGTGGCGGGTCTGTTGGAGCGCGGGTGGGCTGCGCAGGTGCGGATCCGGGGCGGGGCGACATAGACAGGGGACGAAGGGGCGGACGCGGACGTCCCGGGGGCAGGGGCCGCACGCGAACACCGAGATCGGGGTCAGGTAGATGGGCTCCGACGTCGTCTTCATCAAGGTCCGTGCGAGCCCCTGTTCTCGTTCGTCCTCGTCCCTTCTTCCTCCGGTGCAGAGTGCTCGTTCAGACGTTCAGGGAATGCAGTACTGATGAGATGACAACGAATTGTTATAGAGTAGTGCTGCTCATGCAAATTACAGATCGTTGAGATGCCAGCGAATGTTGCTTGTGTCCCGAACGCGTGCGACTCCTGCAGCATGTTCATCTCGCTCGCGCGTGTCCCGAATGTGTGCGTGGCCCTGGGCCTCCCGTGTCCGAGCTCAGCGATGACCTCTGGCGTGGCAGGTTGCCGCGGGCGAGCGCCGCCTGCTTCGCGAACGCGCAGGCCACTGCGGGCGAGCACTCCCGCTCCGCCTCTCGCGCCGGCCGCCGCGGCGAGCGCTCCTCTGCCGTGGGCGGATTCGTTCTAACGGAGGAGCAAGGGACTTAACGTCTATAGTAGGCATACGTGCCTGTAAGTGGGCCCATGTACGTGGGGAACGTAGAAAATGACATAGATAGGCCAAAGATAGAATTGTAATGGTAGTTCTCCAAATAGATGAATTGTAATGGCGTATGTTTAAACTTTAAAAATTGTAATGGCAGGAATTCAAATAAATATTTAAACCGTAGCAGCACGTATCGACAGTATAGCGGCGACGAAGTCTTGGATACCCTTTTCCAAGGACCCGCCGGTGGACAGCGCCGCGGTCGCCTCGGCCTTCCATTTCGCGGACCTTGCCCGCACTGCCACTGCCTCCGGCCCGCCCATCACCTTCTCGATGCAGCGGCGCAGGGCGTCACGCGTCATCGGCTTCGGGAGCCGGACTCCAACGCCGTACACGTCCGCCAAGAACTTGGCGTTGGTAGGCTGGTCGGCCCAGGCCG